TAATAATTATAAAAATTTCTATGATGGGATTAAGATTAAATTCTTAGCTGATTCAGGGGCAACAGATCATATATCAAATTCTACAATTGTTAAGTCGTTTGGGTAATTTATAATAATAAATAAAATACAACAATTTAAATTAACAAAAATCAATAATGTATTAGAAATATTTAGTTCTCGGAGAGAGGTTGTGCTCAGGACGAGAAGTAGGCAAATACTTAATAAAAAATGGCTACTACCAAACCTAAGCGTCGCTTGGGAAAAGAGATAGAGAAGTACATATTGAGAGTACAGCTTACCAGCCTGCAAGGACAGATTTTTTATGATAGGGTCGTTGGTAGGTATGAACGTTGGCCGCGAAGCGAGACAAGATTTAGGTAGTAAGGTATACTTCGGAAAATCTAATTTACATTTAGAAAACTCAAAAATAATATTTCCTGCGACAACCAAACATTAAATGCAAATATAAAAATTTGTAGTGTGATACATTATGTGCATGTGAATGTGTGTATTTATGTTTGTGTGAGTTTATGTTTAATTTTAAGCAAGCATGTTCAATAAAAAATAAGAATCAATTGGTACTAATTCTCAGTCGCCACAGTACCCCCCTGCTAGTGATTGAGTCACGAAAAACCAGCTTGTAGGCGGTCTGGAAATCGTACTCTTCTACCTGATCGCGTACGTAAAGTGCGATCGGGGATCTCATCTCTTGGTGGTACTGCAGCATTCCCGGGTTCCGGAATAGGTTCCAGTGCCGAAACTTGTGGTGGAACAGGAAATGGTTGGTGGAGCGGCATTAGTCGTGCTAGGACACGTTCTCCTTGAACGTACGCTGGCACTTCTTCTTCATCGCTGTCACTCTCGTCAATGGTAACGTCATCCGTTGCATAGGCTGGCTTCAAACGGTCAACTAAAACAGAAATGTTTTTACCACGCACTTCAATAACAAATGTTTTATTGGAGCGCGTGATAACTTTAAAAGGCCCCTTATATGGATTCTGGAGTGGTGCTTTGACAGAATCTGTGCGAAGAAACACGTAATTCGTCGTTTGAAGGTCCTTGAACACGAATGTTGTTTTGGTTCCATGCCTGGAACATTGTGTTGGTCACAATTTGTTCATGTGTTCCTGCAGTTCCTTCAGGAAAGCGGATTGTGTTGTTACACTCTCTGAATATGCTGCAGACGACAGGAACTCTCCAGGAAGGCGAAGTTGTTGTCCATAAAGTATTTCTGTGGCTGTTGACTGCAGATCTTCTTTCCAAGCTGATCTAATTCCTAACAAAACTGACGGTAGAATTTTAGTCTAGCGAGAGTTGTTGTGGCACTTGATGGCTGCTTTCAGTTGTCGATGTAACCTCTCCACCATTCCATTTGCTGCAGGAAGATAAGGCGTTGTTTTAAAGTGAGTAGTACCTGTCAGATGGTTAAGTTCTCTGAACAGATGCGATTCAAATTGTCTTCCTTGGTCAGTGGTTATCTTCAATGGTGTTCCGAATCGCGAGATCCAGTTAGAGAAGAAGGCACGGGCAACAGTTGCAGCTTCTTGGTCCAGCATTGGCACAGCCTCGGGACAACGAGAAAAACGATCAACGCAAGTCAGGCAGTATCGGCATCCTTCAGAACTTGTCATTATTATTATGTCCAAGTAAACATGTTCCAGGCGTAGAATGCACATGTCGCGTGACTTTGGCTCGTTGACATTCAACACAGTTTTTGGCCCAGGTTCCGCAGTCTTTTTTAGCTGATGGACAAATATAACGTTGCGTTATCATTTTGATCGTTGCCTTTACTCCTGGATGGCTTAGATTATGAACCAAATCAAATATTCTTTTCCGGAACGGGTCCGAAATGTATGGTCGAGCAACTGGTGTACTTACATCACAAACTAACGAGATGTCTGAATTTGGCATCTTTATTAGTTTGAGTTGCAAAGAAACTGATTTTTCAGTTTCGAGCCTTTTCAATTCAGGATCATTTCTTTGTCCCAATTCTAGCTCCTTCAGGTCTAGAGTTTATTGTACTTCTTCAATGCGTGAGAGAGCGTTGGCCACGACATTCTCCTCTCCTTCGATGTGACGGATGTCAGTGGAGAATTGTCCTATGTAATCTAGGTATCGGAATTGACGTGGTGTACATTAATGATCCTTTTTCTTGAACGCATATGTTATAGGCTTATGATCGGTGAAAATGGTGAAAGTACTTGTTTCAAGCATGTGTCGGAAGTACTTCGCTGCTTCGTAGATGTCCAGAAATTCGCGATCGTAAGTTGAGTACTTACGCTCAGTGCTACTCAACTTCCTTGAGAAAAAGGCAAGAGGTTGCCAATCATCATTTAGAGACGCATGCTTATTCCCGAAATCTTTTTTGACCAAATAGTTATTTGATATAAAACTACTTAACTTAAAATTCACATAATATGCACATTATTTGACATAAATTTCATTGTACACAAAAACAATTTAACATAAATATCATTTGTCATAGAATTCATTAAACAGAAATATTATGTTACATAAAACTCAGATAACTTAATTCCCATTTGACATAAAAATTATGTAACATAAATTTCTATTGACATAAAACTCATTTAACATAAATTTCTTTTGACATAAAATTCATTTAACGTAAATTTTATTTGTTATAAAATTCATTTGACATCAATTTTATTTGGCATAAATGTCATTTAACGTAATTCTCATTTGACATAAATATTATTAGACATAAAATTAGCTTGACATAAATTTCATTTGACGTGAATATCATTTAACATAATTATTATTTAACGTAAAATTAAATTTATATAAATTTCATTTAGCATAAATTCCATTTAACATAATTCTCATTTGGCATAAAATTTACTTGACATAAATTTCATTTAGTATAAATCCTATTTAACATAATTTTCATTTGACATAAAGTTCAATTGACATAAAAGACATTTAACACAATTCTCATTTGTCATAAAAGTCATTCAACAAAATTCTCATTTGACATAAAAATCATTTTACACAAATACATTTTACATAAAAATATCGGCGCGAATTTGAAAAGTAACTAATTAGATATTATCAACAACATTGTGATTCGCCGATTTGGAAATTCGCGCCTATATTTCCATGTCAAATGATCTTTATGTAAAATAAAATTTATGACAACTCAATTTTATGTCAAATGAGAATTATGTGTAATGAGTTATTCGTCAAATGAAATTTATATCAAGTGAACTTTATGTCAAATGAAAATTATGTTAAATGGGATTTATACCAAATGAATTTTATAACAAATAAAATTTACGTTAAATGAATTTTATGTCAAAAAAATTTATGTTAAATGATTTTTATGTCAATAGAAATTTATGTTACATAATTTTTATGTCAAATGGGAATTAAGTTATCTGAGTTTTATGTAACATAATATTTCTGTTTAATGAATTCTATGACAAATGATATTTATGTTAAATGGTTTTCGTGTACAATGAAATTTATGTCAAATAATGTGCATATTATGTGAATTTTAAGTTAAGTAGTTTTATATCAAACACCTATTTGGTCAAAAAAGATTTCGGGAATAAGCATGCGTCTCATCATTTACCTGTTTGTGCAAGGCAGCGCCGATTGTGTTATCAGACGCGTCGCAAAAGATGGCTAATGTACAGTTGACGGTCGGGTGCGTGAGGAGTGTGGCGTCCGCCAGACTCTGCTTTGTTTCTTCGAAGGCAGCTTCTGCTTCTTTTGTCCATTGAACGGGCGATTTTCCCTTCACATTTTCTCGAAGCAGGTCGTTCAAGGGAGCCTGAACATGTGCAGCCTTAGGTATGAACCTTCTATAAAAGTTAATCATACCTAGAAACCGACGAAGTTGTTTAATTGTTTCTGGTCGCGAAAAATTCACTACGGTGTCAACCTTCCCTTGCAGAGGTTGAGTACCATTTTCACTAACATGGTAACCGAGGAACTTCACTTCTTTCTGTCCAAACACGCACTTTGACGGGTTCACAGCAACACCATAAAGTTTTAGTTTCTCGAACACTATTTTCAGATGTTGAAGGTGTCCCTCCGGTGAAGAAGATGCAACAAGGATGTCATCTATATAGGTGAAGCAGAAGTCTAGATCACGTAAAACTTCATCCATGAAGCGTTGAAAAGTTTGAGCCGCATTTCTAAGTCCGAAAGTCATGAACGGAAACTGAAATAAACCAAAAGGCGTTGTGATGGCTGTTTTACATATATCGTCATCCGCTACCGGGATTTGGTGAAACGCTTTCACCAAATCAATTGTTGAAAAATTGTTTTTCCCCGCAAGATTGTGTGAATAATCATGAATATGTTGAACCGGGTAACGATCAGGTTACGTTCTTGCATTTAAACCGCGATAGTCACCACATGGCCTCCATTCGTCATTATCTTTCGGAACGAGATGTAGAGACGACGACCATGAACTTTCCAACGGTCGCGCAATTCCGAGTTTCACTAATGTGTTGAAATCTTTTTTAGCAGTATGCAACTTTTCTGGAGCTAACCGACGCGGTTTTCTTGACACAGGCGGTCCTGGTGTCGTTCGAATATGATGAATCGTATTATATTTCACTGACGAGGTGCCAGCAGGACGAGTAATTTCTGGAAATTTTGATAATAGTTCATGATAAGCACTTGAGCCAGAGATAACTTTAATGTTTGGTGATTCACTCGTTACAATTTTTCCCGCAGAAGTTAGGTTAGTTTTCTTGTCGATTAACTATCGATTTTTTACATCTACGAGAAGTTCGAAAAATGCTAAAAAATCGATACTGATTATCGGTTTTGTGACGTCAGCTACGACAAACCTCCAGGGAAAATCGCGACGAAGTCCCAAGTCAAGCGTCATGTACCGTATGTCACGATCATAGACCGCGGAAACACACACAAATCTGCTCCTGTGTCCACCAAAAATTGCACTTTAGAACTTCGATCCTGAATAAAAATACGGCGTGATTGCATTGGGCCAGAACCGTCTGACGCCATTAAGCACTGGCCTTCGCGTTTCCCGCTTTGTACGAACACGGCGTCGTACACTTCGTAGCGTTCGGTCCATGACGCGCGTGGTACCAGCAGACGCCTTCGGCTGCATAATTACCGCGAGATCGAGAGCGCGCGCGAGACTTGTGAGGTCCATTATTACCGCGGATTTCCGACACTTCCAGTCGCAACTTTTTTACCTTATCTTTTAAAGAAGTTAGGACTCGGGTAAATTGTTGCACCAGATCTTCTGTGATCCTGGACGTTTCTGCAACAATTGGCTTTGACCTTGTGAGATCATGAATGTGGTCTGCCATTTCAGCCAGTTTATCTAAACTTGCATCCTTTTGAACGGCTAGTATCGGCTGCATAGCGACAGGAAGTCGTCCGGACCATAAAGTTTTCAGCATCGCATCAGTGACTGTTAATCCTGCAGGACCTCGGAGATGACGGAGAAATTGAGAAGGCTTCCTATCTCCAATATCTTGAGATTCTAACAACATACGATTTTTTTCCTCTTGAGAAGAACACACCCAGATAGCAATCGTGCGTCGCATGTCCTGCACGCAGTGTGCGAGGCACTTAATGCGGGCGATAACGTATGCATTTCAACTGCACTCAACATGCATACGTGATGGCTAGAATAGTGCCTGCGATATTGCTGCTCATTGCATGTGTGTCAAAGCACGCGTAGGACGGCATCGTGCATTTAATTTTATTTACAAATAATTAATATTTAAAACTATATTTATTTTAAAATTACAAATACTCTAGACTTTAGTCCTTAAAAAACTGGTTTCAGAAATATAAAAAGAGAATTCTAACATCAATTTGTTTAAGAGGTTACATGGGTCGAAACGACCAGAAAACGTATGTTTTATTTATTAACTTTTTTTCAAATAAATAAATGTTTTTATTTCAACTCTTTGGTATCTGAAAGAACACTATTAAATAAGTAAGATATAACATTTTCGAAAAAAAATTAAAAATTAGTCCCGTCCTTCGATCCCCTTTCCAAAAAATTGCTTTTAAGGAGGTTAAGATATCTTTTGACTGCATCTTAAATCAAAATACGCAAAATTTCTGTAAGTGGGGTAATATATTGATTAGATAACGGGTTTTTAAGGAAATTGAAATTTTAATTTTTGACAAAGTTTTTTGTCAAAAGTTACCATTTTTACCTTCCTTTAATCATAAGATATATTCCTCCACTAACAGAAAATATTAGGGAGTTATTCCATTATATTTCGACTAAAGTCGTTGCCGACTATTTTTAAAAAATTATAATATTTTGCAGAAATGATTTGAAAGGTATTAGGATTACTGAACAAAAATAATTTTTTAAATATTTTGAGTACTTATTGTAAAATAAGCATCTAAAGTATATAAGGTCGTAAAAACTGTCACTTTTTCATTACAAAATATTAAATAAAAAATTATTTTAAAGTTCAATTGTCAAATAACCTAATTTCGTAAATTTCATTCCCTAATGCGAGAAACAGAAATTATTAAATTGAATAAAACTTTATCAAATATAAAGTACAGTGGGACCTCGATTATCAAAACCTCTGTTATCCGAACCCTCTATTATCCGAACCGAAAATCATTTTATCCGAACTTCTATTATCCGAACTTTTTTTGGCCTCCCGAATCTTTCAATAGAAAATAACGAAATTTATGCACAAAAATCTTTAAAAAATCTGAATTCTATGTTTTATTAATATATTATTATGAGTTAATATATATTTACGTATATATACTTATGTATATTTAAAAAATGGATTAAATGAAATATATATAATTCAACTGTCGATTTTTTTACTTTAATTATATTAAAAAAATTAAAATCTCTATTATCCGAACTTTCGATTATCCGAACCCGTCCTTGCCTAGGTTAGTTCGGATAATCGAGGTTCCACTGTACCGTAAACCGGGGCTATAAGGAACAAAACTCTGTGTTCGGGTGGAGTTGAAGTTATCGGGGCCGTGTATGAATAAATTGTATTACTTGCTTTTGAAAAATTGTTGCTGGGGTAACTGCCAATACTATTCAATGCAATAATTGCGACTATTAATAATTTTGTGAACAGTAGTAGCTTGTAAGTGAGTAATTGTATTTTAGTGAAATTTCAAACTTGGGAAACATTTGATTGCTGAGGTAAGTTGTTCCTATTTTAACTTCTCAAAGTAATTTTTTTTATTAAAGGGATTTATTATGGCAAGTTTTATTGAGTTCACTAAGTAATAAATACGTTTATTTTGTATTTACAGTAAGATTTACGAGAAAAAAACCAAAATTCACAAACGGCGGGTATATAAGGAACACAATTATTTCTTCCGAATCGTTAAAGTGTGTTGTCAAAACGTAAGTTTTTCGTAATTTCGTTTGTTTTTTATCACCTAATTTGGTTTTTAGTGTTCAAAGATGGTTTGAAATTGTAAAAGAGTGTTGGTACCGACAAGTCACAAAAAACGACCAGTTATCATCATCGACCTCAACTGATGATACCAGCAACGTTTAGTTTTGTTTTTACATTTGTTTTATATTCTGTGTTTACTTTCGATCAATAAAAAATAATTTCTTTAACTTTAAATACGTTTTCCAATAGTTTTACCGCCTTGTTCCTTATAGCCCCATTTTGTAATTTCAAAAAAATGCGTCTTTTTCGTATTTTTTGCTTAAAATTCCAGCTTTGATCAAAACAATTCTTTAACCCTTCAAAGTGCTCGCCAAGATCAAAAAAAGAAAAAAAAATAAAGGCAATATTTCAATAAAAAAAAAGTTGCAAGACTTTAAAGCTGAAATCTGTTCCTTATAGCCCCAGATTACGGTACCTGTGATTAACTTTAAGTTTTTCTTAGCACTTTCTTCCTTTTTTCTTCCTAAATGTAAAAGAATAAGCAATTAAAATTGGCACTTTGCTTATTTTCACGATTTTTATATGGGGCCGTCCATAAACCACGTGGACACATTTGGGGGGGGCGGGGGGGTGAATCAAAAGTCCACGTTTGTCCACGAAGGGGAGGGGGGGTGTTAAAGCAAATGTCAACGTGGACATATAATCAAAGATATTTCCAAAAAAGATATCTTAAGCTTAATCAGAATGATCATAAGTTTCAGTTAATCAATTTCCCTGACAATTTACTGATATTAAAATTAATTTCCCTGACAAAATTCTTTTTACAGGAAAATATGAATGTTTACGGAAAATGAGTGAAATTTATGATTTTAATTATTTTTTAAAATGACAATTATAACCCTTCCTGAATTCAATTATTTTCTACAATTTCCATCCAGTAAAAAAAAGTATTGGAAGAGAGCGAATAGTATTGTCGGTGAGTTTCTGCCAATACGGTTTTCACGCGAAAACATATTGGCAGAAACTCACCGCCAATACTATTCGCTCTCTTCCAATACTTTTTTTACTGGGCAACTAAACCTTCGTCTTTGAATCAATTAATTTAAATAATTTTCCGAAAGTTCTTCTAAAATTCTGTTATATTTTAAATTATTTTTGAATTTGATTGATAAATTTTAATTAAAATTTTTTAACATGATTGTTTCCTCTAAAATGTTAAAAATAATTTTAAAATGTTACTTTTTTTGTATATATTTGAATTTTTGAAAATATGTAATTGAGAATATTGAATTTTAACCGACAGATTGGCTCAGTCGGATAGATGCCTGGCGTTAGTGGTCGTTTAAGGACCAAGGGTATAAGTACCCTTGGTTCGCGCCCACTTGGCTTGGTATTTTTCCGGCACGTGAGACAATCTGAGCGGGAGGTTTGACGTCGAGGTATAATGATGTGCACCGTCGATTATTGTCCGGTACACACCATTAGAACTCGACTGTCGATAAACCGGTTGTACTCAGAGAGGTTTTCTACAGTTTCCCTCTTCTCTGGCGAGAAAACCCATTGACGGGTGGTCCAGGCGTAATGCGAGTACTCCTAATAAAGTCGGCTGTAGACGCAAAATTAGGTTAATATATATAGAAAATTTCTAAAGTAGAATGGTTATGCTTAATCCAAAAAAGTATTTCTCGGGGACTCTTGTCGAAGTGCGTAAGGCCAATAGGGCAGGAGTATAAACAATAAAAAAAAAAAAAAATATTGAATTTTAAAAAATTAGAAGCTAATTTTCATTAATTTTCATTTTTAAATTTACCTTTAAAGATTTTTTATTCTACAAAAATTGTAACGAAAGACTTAAAATAAATTAATTATTTTCAATTAAATTTTACAAAATTTCAACTATTCAAAAAGATTTGTTTATACAGGGTGGCCATTTTTTTGTAAAAAGAAATTCACGGTCATTTCCCGGTCATAAATTATTTTTCCCGGTCATAAATAATAACTCTGAAAATAAATTATTCCATGAAAGATTGAAAGAATTTCCTGATTTTTAGACAAAACTTTGACTTTTTCCTAAAACCTAAAAATATTTTAGTTTACTCTAAAAATAATTTTGAACTTAAATAGATTTTTTGAAATAAATATTTAATTATTATCCATTATTTTTCCATATAGTAGGTAATGAAATTTGAAAAAAATTCAAATTTTAAATCCTTTAAATTTGAATAATTTTTAAGAATTGCTACTGTAACTTATTAACAATTATTTTCAAAATTTCAATTCAATTATATTCTAGAAATAACTAAAATATTTCTAAAATCCACTTGTTTACAAGACAATTTCATGAAATTTTGAATAATTTAAAAATTTTTCAATTAAATATTAGGTACATATTTAAAAACATAACTAATTTGAAAAAATGTGAATAAAAATATTTTTAAAAACTGACTTATTCAGAATTTTTAATTAAAATCTTTTAAAATTCAACTTTTCTAAAACTTAAATTTGAAATTTTTTAAAATTCAATCTATAATAATTATTAATTTAACATTCTAAAATATAGAAAAATTTGCTTATCAATAATTGCAAAAAAAAACTAATTGATATTAATGCAAAATACGATTTTTTAAAAATTTATTTTCTAAAAAAAGAAATTTTATTTATTTTTATATACATTATTTATTATTCTAAAATTAATTTTTATAAATTTCGTATCACTTTTGTTCTAATTAGTTCAAATTTTTAATAATTCTTATTTGTTTTGTTATAATATTATTGCAAAAAAATTTTTAAATTGATTTATTTTTCACTATTCTATAGAATGTGAAATTTTTTCTCATTGAATTTTTTTTGACAAGTTTAATTAAAATTATATTTTGTTTAATTATTGTTAGAAATAGAAAGAATTTAAAATTAAATTTAATATTTTCTTTTTCTAAATCTGTTACGTTGGACAGCAAAATTCATAATTTTCTTATAAATTCTAGAAAAGTCAGGGACCGTCACGGAAATCAAATTTTGATTTCGTTACGATATTCCAAAACAAAACGAAATTATTAATGTTTTTTGATTTTGATTCGGTAACGAAACAAAATTCACTTTCTATTTTGATTTCGATACTGTAACGAAACAAAAT